GTGCCACACCAGTGCTGCAAGCTTCTCCCACAGCACTGTCCTTTCACTATAGCCGGGGCAAAAGCAAGGACCATCTCTGGGTGGTGAGTTGAAGCAGCTGCAGTGATGCTCAGACCAGTGCGTATTACAGAGACTATCCAGCAGGTGTGGAGAGTCCCTTCAAGCAAGGCACCAACTCCCAGTACCAAGCGCCCCTAGGAAAGGCTTATTTTTTTCAGAAAGTGGTTAGAGAAATCCTGGAAGGACCTTGAAGCCAAGAGTGGGGAGGCAGAGACCCTTGGGGGTGGTGTTTGTGCCCTGAGGCTGCCAGCAGCAGGCAGTGCACTGAGCTGGGAAGAGGGCTGATGCCCAGATGAAGTGCAAAGCGTAAGAAAGCAGCAGGAGCTTTGGCCTGGTTTCGGGGTGTCCCCAGAGGAGCCAAGAATGTTTGGCAGGTTTTTAATGCATGCATTTCTAATGGGAGGCTCTTAGCACCGTTTAAGCAATGGTGGAATTAAGTGCTGGCTTTTCCAGTGCACTGGGCCCCAGGAGGACAAGGTTGACAGGGTCAGAATTTCAGGCCCAAATTGCTGCTGTATGTGGTTTTTCTGGTTTCCATTTTACACCGTGGCCTCTAGACCTTGTATCCTTTCTCAGTCATGGTCCTTCCACCCCCTCAGCCCCCAGCTCCTCCCTGTCCCTCATATCATGCCTGTCCACACTTTCAGTGGTTGTATTTTAACCTGCCCTCATACCTGGCCATCTAACTAGTGACTGCACTCCTGTGTCACCCCTCGTGCTACCTTGATCCCCAAGCCAAAGGGTTTTCTGTGGCTATCAGGACATCCAGCTCCTAAATCAGATTTGGGGCTCTCATCCTTCTATTTTGCCCTCCCTACTGTCTCCTCTGAACAGGGGAACCATCCCTGTGGCCTCCTCCTCTTCTCCAAACACTCTGGTGCAAAGAAATGCCAATAACATTGAGGTATCCATTAGTAGGGAATAAACCAGAAGGAAATCGTTGGGACCTCAGAGCGGATGGGTTGACTTTGTGCCAGCCAAGGAAGGTACAGCCATTCATGGGCACCATGCCACTACTGTTCCTTGATGCTCTCGCATACATGAGGATGGCCAGGAGCCAAGGGCACGTTGTAAGAGCCGTCTTGGGTTACAGTGAAGAGTGTTGGAACCCTACAGCCGGGTAGGCCCAGCACATGGGGGTGGTGACATTGCACCTGCCCTATAAACCAGATCCCGTGTCCCAGCTTTTCCCCTCACCTGTAATCACAGCCTCCCTCCACACCAGGCTCTCCACAACTCGTGTGTCCCCCTTCCTCGGCTCTTCTCTGGGCTGGAGTTGCTTGCCCTTGCTCTCCCTGCCCACCCTCCATCCCTGCATCTTTTTGCTCTGTTGCCTGAGAAGCAAGGGAGGGAAACAGCCAACTCCACTGTCAACACCTTTCAGGCCAGTAGAAAGGACAAAATGTTGTTTGTGTTGTTGGACTCCAACGCTATCCGATTTATGTTCATTTGGCTCTAGACAGTCGAGGGAGGGCATGGTGCTGACCCCCATCCCTGGCCTCCCCTTGCCTGTGAATTGCCAGTGTCAGGGAGCTGCTGCTCCCTAAAGGGCAGGGCATGGCCGTGGTGGAGCTGGAGACTGGCATTCCTATGGCATTGCTCCGGCAGGGACTGACGGCACCGGGCTGAACTGAAATGGAGTCCCAGGCCATGGGCAGGGGTGGAGGAAGCCACAGATTGGGCTGGCCTCGGAGCCCTTAAAACCAGTGTGATAGCAGGGAGACAGGAGCCATTGGGGAAAGAATGGCAGGGTCTGCGTATTTCTTGTACATAGCCACCTTGGGGACCCAAGGGGAGCAATGAGTTTGGCTTGAGGAATGGCTTTGACCTTCCTTTGGCCTGTGGCTGAGACAAGGTTGCACAGCCAAGGTGGGAGGTAGATAGGAAGCGGGTCTTCTCTGCGTGGTCCCCTTGCTTTTGACCCATAGCAAGGATAAACACCACCTTCATTTCCATCCACCCCCTAACCCAGCCATCTCTTTCTAGGCTGCTAGGACATCTCCCCTTCCCAAACCCTCTCTGTGCTGCCTGAGTGCAGGTCCCTGAGTGGGATGGGGTGGCTCTCAGTGATTACTGGGGCTGCTGCAGAGGAATGTGGTCCTGGCCTCAGGGTTTCTCCCTGTGCACCATGAACGAGCTACAGCAGGTAGAGCTGACTTCAGCACAGCATTTGGAGCAGCCTGCCCTACCAGAAGGGGTCAAAGTAAGGGGGCTGGGATGTTCCTGTATGGAGTTGGATATTGTGCAGGGCATTTGGTGAAGTGAGACAGGCCAAAGCATAATGGTCAGAGAAGGACTCTGGCTAAAATCTGGGCTACGCTTTTCACTGCTTGCTGAGGGGCTGCCCCTGGCCTCTCCCGGGGTGGACATACTTTAGGCACCAATGTGCAAAAAACGTGATAGTACCTGCCATTCTTTTGTTCAGTGGAAGAGACTAGGCAAAGTGAAGGAGCATTAGAGGGGAAGGTAAAGGAACAGAGATGGTATGGGGGATTGGCTGTATCTCTGCATGCCATCACCTCTGGAAAAGGTGGGACAAAGCAGGGGACTGGCGCTGAGGAATATCAGAGGTCTGTGAGTCCCAGCCTGTGGAGAGCCAGATGTGCCTCCTATCTGATGCATCTGGGGAGACAGTGTCAGGAAATTATTTCTCATTGGATTATAAGGCTGAGAAACAAAGCAACAGACTGTAAAAACCTCTGCCTTCTGCTTCAGTGCTGGCTGATGCAAAGCTGAGGCAGCAGCTGGAGGTCGTCATATGACAACCATAAATGACATGAGTTTGGTGGCCTCAGATGATGAGCTGTGGGGAACAGAGGCTTTCTCTCTGTCTTTTCCATTGGTCTAGCTCTCCCCCCCGCCCCCTTCCCTTCTCCATCTTGGCTTTACTTTTTGGATTATTGAATATTTAAGTGTTTCTCTGTGACACTATCTCTGATCCTTTAATCCAGCTGGCCTGGTAATTCCACAGACCCAAATCAGCTCAGATTTCTCCACAGACATAAGCCTTGTTCCTCAAGGGTTCACTCCTCCTCCATTTATCTTCCTTCATTTTATTTCTGCCCTTTGTGTCTCTGTGCTAGAAATTGGTTCGCCTTTCGCAGCAAAAGCTTCGGTGATATCTTTAGTGAGCAGCCTCCCCCCAAAATAAAAGGGGCAAGAGGGGATCTATTTTTCATTAACTAAGAATCCTTTTCTCTGTTTTTTATTGTCTTTCTCCTCAAAATTTAAAAAAAAAAAAAAAGACAGCATAGTGCCCACATGTTTTATCTGCTGTATGAAATTATTTCCTCTGCACCGCCTGAGGACATCCCCGCCAGGCTCCTGTCAGCACACTGGGAGAAGGGTTGAACCTGTAGCCGGAGGGAAGGGTGCTCCAGGCTGCCTTTCCCAGTCAGAACCAGCAGCTTACGCAGAGCCCAGAAATACATTGAAGCAAATGTCACTTTGCTGCTGATTCCTGCAAGGTGTCCTTTCCCACAGATGGGCAGTGTTCATAGCCCCCAAGGGGAGGTGGCAAAGTAGGAAGGTGGAAGCTGTGCACCTCTCTTTGGTGGGGGTAGGTGGGTGATGTGCTCCAGCTCAGACCTGCTGGCATTGCTGGGTGAGAGACTGGAGGCTGGTATTTGACACACTACTTACACCCTGCTCCCCCCACCGCCGCCCCCAGCATGCTCAAGCCAGGCTGGCTCACCTCAACAGCTTTGTCCCTTCACCAAGAGGCAGGAACAATTTTTAGGGCACAAGTGGTTACACGTGGCTTGAATTATTTATCCCTCTTGCATCAAGGAAGGAAGGAAACAAACAAAAAAGTGTTGGGGTTTTTTTTTAGGAGGGAAGGCTTGTCTGCATTTTCCCTGCTTCGTGCATTCTGTGTACATCATTTTCAGGCGGCTGAAAATCTGTGGCTTTGGCTGTGCTTGGGGCTTGCCTTTGTTTACACTAGGAGTTTTGAGCCACCCGCAATAACAGTCTTATGTTTCCTACCCTCCATCCCCTTCCCCTTCTACCCCCACGCTGCTGCCTTCCCCCAGGTCCCTGGCTGTGATCACGTTACTTAAGGGAGCCTGGGTACCCTTCTGCATACCCCTGATACAAGATTATACGTCGCGAGGGTTCCCTTCTCAAAGGCTTATCAGCATGGCAGGCAGTACCACTCCTCTCTTCCTTGCACCCCCCATAATGCGGTCTCTTCCCCATCTCCCTCTTCTCATGAAACCTTGCTGTCTATACTCTTATCTCAAAGACCCCCTCCAACTGATGCCTCTTCTTGCCTCCTGTGTGCTTTCTTTTCCAGATTCCAGTGACAGATGGATCTCTCTCGTGCGCACTTGCTCTTTCCCTCTGTATTTTTTGTTTTCGACATTTTTGATCTGAAGCTCTGAAGCTTCTCGGAGGGAACCCGGGAGAGAAGGAGAAGGAGGAGGAACCGAGGGAGCGTGAGCGACAGAGGAGGCAGCCCTGCCTTGTTCTTCCAAATCACACCGTGGAGGGGCGGGGGAAGACTAGAGAGGGGGGAGGACTTGGGTTTGTTTTGGGGTGGGTTCAGTGTGGGTGGGGGGTGGGTGGGAGGGAGAAAAGTGGAAAAGGTGGTCGAGTCGCTCATGAGCATCAAAGAAGATTCGTTATCCTCAGTCTGAATTTTTGTTTAGAAAAGAAGCACAAGGTAGTTCCCTTCCAGACCAATCATCCATGTTCATAGCTTTTGGGTGTGCTGGAAGCAGATTGCACGTGTTCCCCCTGCTCCATGCTCCTGGCTTGACCCAGAGGGCAAGAAGAAATAATGGTGACGACACCCAATAGGACTGGGGTGCTCATGCCCTTCCATTGCTAAACCCCAGTTACTGCCCCTTTCTCTTCCCTCTGCCCCTTAGTTTCCTTTTGCTGTGGTCCTGAGATTTGGGGTTGGTTTCTGTTGGTGGGGTTTTTTTTCCATCCTGATGAGGGCACCACTGCAGACCATGATGTGCCTGGGGTTGTGGGCAGCGGTCCTGCTCTGCTTGTTTTCCCCTGGCACCGTGCGAGGTGACTGCTGGCTGATTGAGGGGGACAAAGGTTATGTGTGGCTGGCCATCTGCAGCCAGAACCAGCCCCCGTACGAGACCATCCCCCAGCATATCAACAGCACGGTGCACGACTTGCGTCTGAACGAGAATAAGCTCAAAGTGGTGCTGTACTCCTCCCTCAACCGCTTCGGCAACCTGACTGATTTGAACCTGACCAAGAATGAGATCTCCTATATCGAGGACGGGGCTTTCATGGGCCAGTCAAACCTCCAGGTCTTACAGCTGGGCTACAACAAACTCACCAACCTGACAGAGGGCATGTTGCGGGGCATGGCCCGTCTCCAGTTCCTCTTTGTGCAGCACAACCTAATTGAGCTGGTCACCCCTACTGCCTTCTCTGAGTGCCCCAGCTTGATTAGCATTGACCTGTCATCTAACCGTCTCAGCCGCCTGGAGGGGAACACTTTCACCAGCTTGAGCAATCTGATGGTGTGCGAGCTGGCTGGCAACCCCTTCAACTGCGACTGTAGCCTCTACAGCTTTCTTAACTGGCTGGCGCTCTTCAACAACGTCACCAAGAACTATGACCGGCTCCAGTGTGAGACTCCACGGGAGTTCGCTGGGTACCCGCTCCTGGTACCTCGGCCTCACCACAACCGCAATGCCATCACCATCTTCCAGTCCATGTGCAGAGGTGGCACCATCCCTTCCCTCTCCAGGGTCAACCCTACCCCCTACACCCCTGACTCCCAGCGGGACCTGGACGAGGGCTCAGCCATCAGCCCTGGGGACTTCCTCTCAGTCAAGCCTCCAGCCTCCTCCACCACTGACTCCTCCTTCAGTCCCAGCATCAAGCTCCACGATGTCACCATTACCTCAGCCATCCTGATGGTAACCATCCCCATGCCCTACAGTAAGATGTATGTGCTGGTCCAATACAACAACAGCTACGTTTCTGACATAGCAACACTGAAGAGCAAGAAGGAATATGTCACTGTCAACAAGTTGAAGGCCCACACTGATTATACTTTCTGCGTGGCCTCCATCCGCAACAACAGGCGCTACAACCACACTTGCCTGACCTTTGCAACCCGGAGCAAAGGCAGGGAGGACCCTATTTCCAGTACTTCCACCACCACACACTATATCATGACCACCCTGGGTTGCCTCTTTGGGATGGTCATTGTCCTGGGAGTGGTGTACTACTGCCTGCGGAAGCGGAGGATGCAGGAGGAGAAACAGAAGTCCCTCAATGTCAAAAAGACCATTCTGGAAATGCGTTACGGATCAGATATTGATACCAGTACCATGGTCCATCCTTCCCAGAAGCTGGGTGAGCCACCAGTCATCCCTGTCTCACGGATGTCCTCCATCCCTTCCATGATTGGGGAGAAGTTGCCCCCATCAAAGTCAATGGAGGCTGGGATGGAGACTCCTAAAGTCACCACCAAAGGTAACTACATTGAGGTGCGGACTGGTGGTGGGGATGGGCTGGAGCGAACCCAGCGGGATGAGGACCTGAGGGAACTTGACAATGGGCAAGGCTCAGCTGCTGAGATCTCTACTATAGCCAAGGAGGTAGACAAGGTCAACCAGATCATCAACAACTGCATTGATGCCCTCAAGCTGGACACAGCCTCATTCCTGGGTGGTGGGACTGGTGTTGACTCAGACATGGCCTTTGAGTGCCAGTCCATCCCAGCCAGTTCCTCGGGTGGGCTAGAGCGGCCCAGCTTTCTTTCCCCACCCTACAAGGAAAGCTCCCACCACCCTTTGCAGCGCCAGCTCAGTGCTGATGCTGCCGTGGCCAGAAAGACCTGCAGTGTCTCCTCTAGTGGCTCCATCAAGAGCGCCAAGGTCTTCAGCTTGGATGTGCCTGACCACCCACCACTCAGCAAGTCTGACTCCAAATACATTGAGAAGGGCAGCCCACTCAACAGCCCTTTGGATCGTCTTCCCTTGGTGTCCCCAGGCGCCATCCACCACTTGGAGGTCAAGCCTTCTTACCATTGCAGTGAGCACCGTCACTCCTTCCCGGCCCTGTATTACGAGGAAAGTGCTGACACCTTGAGCCAGCGGGTGTCATTCCTCAAGCCACTCTCCCGGTCCAAGCGAGACTCCACGTACTCCCAGCTCTCCCCCAGACACTACTTCTCGGGCTACTCCTCCAGCCCTGAGTACTCATCAGAGAGCACCCATAAGATCTGGGAGCGATTCCGGCCTTACAAGAAGCACCACAGGGAGGAGGTTTACATGGCGGCTGGGCATGCCCTGCGGAAGAAAGTTCAGTTTGCCAAGGACGAGGATCTGCATGACATCCTGGATTACTGGAAAGGAGTCTCTGCTCAGCAGAAGCTGTGACTCTCCCTCGCTCTTTCCAAGGAAACAATACAAAACAAGACCCCCCCCCCCAACAACCAGAAAAAAAATATGCCACTTGACTGTGAAAAATAAACCAACAACAAAATACTCCCGACAAATACAAAACTGACAAAATCGTTTCTTAAAGTTTACAACAACAACAGAAAGCTCTCACACACACAGACACACACACACAGACACACACACACGCCGAATTGTCTCTACTGTGTTACGGGGACCATTGTTCTGCCTGCAGATGGTTGGGAGGAGCGTCCTGCTCTGACACTGTGGTAACAACACTGGAGTGTGTGGGGGTGGGAATGGCCCGGGAGAGGGTGGCAGTGGTGGCAGGGGAAGGGCAGGGATGGACACTCACTGGGCATGAAACTCAGCTGTGAACTATCGCTCTTTCTGTCCCTGTCGAGGGCTGATTTTTCTTTTGGGTGGGAGGGGAGGGCTTTGGTTTAGAAAGCTTCTCTTCCCACCTGATACACCTGCTTTTCCAAATCTTCCATCACTAATTTTTCCCTCATTTCCTTTGGCAGTGGAGGCTTTTCTCTCTCCCATCCCCTTCCAATATAGGTGGGATGTGTTGGAAGAAGTTCTCTGGCTTCTTTTCCTTTGCCTTTCCCTGCTCTTCTCTGTTAAGGCTCCCTAGGCTTTCACTTTCTGTCTAGATACTTCACAAACCTCCACCCTCCTCAGAGGAAGGAGAGGAGGTGTGAAGGACCAAGGGAGGTAGGACCTGCCATACAACAGGCTCTGTGCCCTTGCTGCTCTTCTTCCTTTCCTTCTCCCGCCATGTTGTTGCTGATGAACACCAGCAATTCTGGAGCGATGGCCATTCTTCAGGTCTGCTCAGAGCCAGTTTTCTGCCGGTTGGTGGGGGGGTATGAATGTGCTCTTTGGCATGGCAAGCCAGGTCCTCAAGGAGTGGTGGAGGAGAAGGCAGGAAGGTCTGGTCTCTCAGAGGTGTCAAGGGTTCCCATCTCTCCACAAGTGTCACAGGTCAGAGGTCCTCCCCACCATACACACCTATGCTCAGGCTGCCCTTGGGCAGTAGGTTTGACACTCTCTGTTCATGCCTCCCTTACTCTGAGGAGGGGACCTGGAGAGGAGCTCAGCAGAACAAGTTCTACATGAAGCTTCTGCAGCTCTTCCCAACTGACTTGCACCATGGGGTGTGGGATGGGTGGGTGTGCGTGAGAAGAGCGTCACCCAACTTCATCACTTGCAGGTGGATGCGAAGAACAGGATTTCAGTTGCTCACCTCGCTGGGTTGACAGAAAAGCCATGAAGTGGCTTCCTTTTGAATAGGCCATGGACATTCTGGCATGGATAGGAGACAGCCTAGGGTGAAGGCAGAAGCACAGGAAATAAAAGGGGTGTGAGAATGGGGCCTGGGAGTAGTCCAAGAGGGATGGCTCCAGAAGTTCCCTTTGTGTGTGCAGCCACACTGCGTGTGCTGGGCTGGAAGAGGATACCAGCCTCTGGATGGCAGTGTTCCTTTGAATACTTAGAGGCCCTCATGAGAGTCACCTCCTAAATCCTCCAGCTCCTCGTAGCTACCTGTGACAAACTCTTCTTAGGGATCCTTTAATGTCTTGGCAAAAAAACTGGTTTCACTTGCTAGGTCCCAGCCTCTGTCCCTTGGATAGAAGATCTGCCACAGAGTTGGGAATGAGCCTACTGCTGAATGAGCTACTTTGTCCCATTTCTGAGCAGCCCAACGAAGCACAATCTTGGCACCGTCTCCCCCAAAGTTTTCTTGTCAGGCGGGGGTGCTGCCTGCTGCCTGCGTCTCTATGCGGCACAGTGGGCTTCCTCTCCATGAGCTGCACACCCCAATTCTTGACAATCGTTCGCCTCTGTCAGGATGAGGGTGAGGGCCTGTGTTGTGTTGGCCTTTCCTAAGTGGCTATTTCCTTTTTGAGGCGCTCCTCAGAAGCCCCATTGTTTTTGGGGGCCCTGGGAAAAGGATGAGGGTGTAGGAGCTTCTCTGGGAGGTATTTACATGCTGCCTGCAGAGAACCTGCCCATTATCTGTCAGGTAGTAGCACTGCCAGCTGTGAGAGCTGGTTTCTATGCCACAGGTGACATGACTTCATCTTCTGTAAGTGAGGAGCAGCAGTACCAGAGCCTGGTGTGTGAAAACCAGAGCGGGGTTCCCCAAGATCTGTACCTGTGAAGATCCGTGGGGTTCCTTCCTTGTAGGGATGCTGATGGTAACAATCCTAAGCTACGTCCTGATCCCATTGCTTCAGCCTCCTTCAGCCTGCTTCCCCACAGTCAAAGCATTGGTTTGCCTTGAGTCCAGAGGTATTCATGGGACTGACTCCACACTGTAAGAGCCAGTCCAACCCAGAGGAAAGGGGGTGTGTGCACACGTGTGTGTGTGTATGTATGTGTAGGAGGATGAAGGGAAGTCACATCGCTGCTGCCAGGCATCCCTCTATGTTGGGACGATGCAGCAAATCAAGACAGGTAGATGCTGTGAGAGGTACTTAGGCACAGCAGAGACATCTCCAGCTACCACATGGAGCAGGCCCAGTGGTCTTCCAGCATGGCAACCATCCAAGCAGGAAAGACTAATGGCTGGGGCACAGAACTGGACGGGAAAAGGGGAATGACAGGCATGGGGGGATGGAGTCCTGTTCCTCTCCCCAGCTCTTCCCTCCCTGTGCTTCTCTGCTGTATGGTCTTGTAATCAGTTCCACTCAGTCTATACTTTTGGGGGGAGTGTTAACCTCTAATGGTTTCTGCTCCCTCGCCCCATCACCCCAACGAGGCAGTAAAGAAAGGTCAGGGATAGAGCTATCATCAGGCCCTTCTTTTGCCTGTGGTGGGGGTAAGGCTGGGTAGGAGGACAAGCCATTTCTCTCCCAACTGTAGCCCCCCACTCTAAACCAGTGGGTGAAGTTTGCACAAGATGGACTGTTCTGTGGGAGGAAGAGGGCAAGGAAGGGGAACAAAGTGTCTCGCCTTCCTTCCTCCTCCCTTCTTCCTTGTCCTGCTCCCTCCCCAGGGATGAGGGCTCGCAAAGTGACGCCAGCCCTGTCGGAGGAAAGCAGATTTAACGTTCTATTTGCATGACGATTTTACTGTATTTTTCTGAGCAAACACCTGTTGTGTATGTGCCAGTTTGTTGGAATTTAACCTCCTCTCCCAAAGTCTCTCCCGTCCTCGTCCCTGTTTTCCCTGCTCCTTTCATTCATCCCTGATGTGATTTTATGAGAGACTCCTACCAGTTTGGGAGGGAGCACACCCCAAAGAGAACCCACCCCAATCAGCCCCATGAAAAACATTCCTTCTTCTTTCCAGTGTCCCTCTGCCCTTTCCCCAAATGTGGTCTCTCGGCTGCTTTCCAGGGTCATGTGTGTGAAGGGGGGATGTGTTATATATCCAAGGCCTGCTCTTCCTGGTGGTCATCATTTCTCCTAATTATCTAGAAACAGGAGTGAGGCCCATCAAGATAGATCTCGTAAGAGAAATGGTCACTACCATCCCCATGCCCTGGTTGCTCCTTCCCCATACCTACAAGCAAGGCTATTCCTGGGGGAACAAGGAGTGCTTCAGCTGCAGGGAAACCTCTGATACAGTGAAAGCTTGATGTGGAGCTGGTTGCGATCACTTAGAAGACCTCCCACCACCTTCCTCTCATTGATTGCAGGGAGCTCTGGATCAGGTCTGTCCTACCCCTCCTCTCTGGTGGGTGGCCCTGGCAGAGGGCAGGGCATGATGAAACTTTTAAGGTCTTCGTGGTGGGAAAAAGCACGGAGAGACTGCCACAAGCTTCTAAGCCCTCTATGGCTTGGCTTTGGCAAGAGTTCCTCACCCCTGCCTTCTCCCAGGGCAAAGTGGATCCGTGGGGCAGAACCAGGACCAGCCCCTTTCACGCTTTATTTCTGGGTTGGTGACTCTTGGCAGGGAAAACAGGGGTTTAGTTCACCTTGCTGGAAAGCACGGAGGGTGAGGAATGAAGTTGGGTGCTCACCTGCCCTCTTCCCCCAAGGAACAGGCTTGGGGGGAGCCTGGGCTGGATTCCTGCACCCAGCAGAGCGAAGGTGAGACCCTAGCTGTGCTGTTCCCATGGGGCAGAGCTCTTCCCCACCCCTGCCAGTGCTGCCCCAGCTTATGCTGCGGTGCCACGTTCCCCTCTCCCCTCCCCACTCTTCCATGCTGAATAAATCCCTCCCGAGGCAGGTGTGAAATATTCATGACTGACAAATGAAGATTTATGTCGGGCTGAGGAGGCCTCTGTGTGTTTGCAATTCTAATCAGCCTGCCTTCCCGGAGGAGGCTCTGCCAGGCAGGCTTGGGGGAAGGAGAGGGAGATGCAGGAGGGAAGGGGGAAAAGGAGCTGAGGAAGAGAGAGGAGAGGCAGACACAGCAGGGTTGAGGAAGGTGTGGTGGGACCAAGGAATGGGGAGGCAAGGAGGCGACAGGTTGAGGGAGATGGACAGGGTGAAGAAGAAGGACAGGCTGGAAGGACTAGGGGATGAGATGGCTGCACTGGAAAGAATGGGATGGTAAAGGGAGAAAGGGACCAGCCAGAGAAAGGGTTGAGTGCAGGGATGGAGGCTCTCTGAGGTGGGGAGTAAGTCAGCAGTGCCTGAAGAAACAAGCTGGGCAGACTTCGTGATGAGCTGTGGCCCCTCTCTGTAGGGCAGAGCTCAGCGCTGCAGGGCGGGCAGCTGCCACACGGGCAGGAGCTGGACCCGGAGCCCCGAAAGCACATTTGCCATGCTTGTCGCTGACTGGAAAGCTCAGCTGCGTCTGGGAGGACACACAGCCTCCGGGAGCCTGGAGAACGCCCCTTCCACCGCCATCACCTCCTTCAGCACAAGCCGCGTGCAAGAAGAGCCTCGTGGAGCCGCATCCTCTTGCCAGAGCCAGCCTGCTGCCGTCCCACCGTCTGAGCGGGAGGGACCATCTTCAGGGTGTCTCGGTGTGGGACGGACACGGAGTGCCACCCTCCACCGGGCTACGGGGGTCTCTTGGCGGGCTGGCGGAGCCTCGCCTCCCCTCAGTGGCCCCCTGCCCACCCTGGCCGAGGCAGGTGTTTTTGGGGTCTTTCCCCAAAGAAAGGCAGAGGGGAGCGTTCTGTTGCCTCCCCGGCCCCCACACACGCACGCACTCCTGCACCCTGTCCCTCCAGCCGCTTTGGCCTTGTACCGTGAGGGACGTTCGCGGTCTGCCTCCCCCCCGCCGTGCGCCGTGGGGGTCTCGATACCTCTCCACGCGCAGTCCCCCCCCCAGGGCCGCCCCAACCCGCCTCCCCGTCCCCGGGTGGAGAGAGGACAATCTGCCC